TGCAAAAAAAAAAAAACACATCATAGTAAAATTAATACCTTCTCCGCTTCGCATCGAAGCTAAAATTGAAAAACTGTCAAAAATTAGCGATTTTTAATTTTTTGCAGATTTCCCCCATTTACGGGGAACGAGGGAAATTTTTTCAATTTTTGAAGGTAATGTCTTTGATTAGATACGATTTGTGATCTTTAGACGTATCGTTGAAAGAAATCGGTTTGGTGAGAGCTGAAAAAGAGTGGTAACAGACACAAAAAAAATTTTAAAAAGAAAATAAAAAACACATTGTAAAACTAATACCTTCTCAGCTTCGCATCGAAGCTAAAAGATACAATGTTGTACCTAATAAAGGACAGTTCCAGAAATCCATATAACATAAAATTATAACTTTTATATTGTGTGAGGTTTGAATATATACCTATTTCTTTACATTTACTTAGGAATAATTACTACAACCAGAGGTAAATTAAAATTTTGATATTCTAGGGATAATATATTTAAAATATTTTTATTTCATTAAAAAATACAGATTCTAATTATAGTTTTTTGATAAAAAAAAATAATTTATGACCCTTTTTTACTCCTTTGAGAGAATAAAAGCAAATGACTCCACTTCCATTACTAAATGTAATACTAGATAAAAATATCACTAATCATTTTTTAATAACTTACTATATATTACTTTTAATTGAGTTTTAATTAAATTTTTAATTATAATAACTACTAGATTTATAAATTATCCACTAGAATGCGCATTATTGTAATAACGCAATTTGTATTTGAATTTGTGTTATCTACTTTTCTTTTTATTATCAATCACGTGCTCGATGCATAGGAACAGTGAATTCATTTGAATTTAAGTAATGTGACATTATAGCGTAATGCATTTGTACAAGTCAGAGTTTTTTAAGAAGTTTTCAGAAGTTTGTTTTAATCATTCGTAATCTCTATATAATCTTTTATCTTATATATTAAATCGTTCAAGATGTTTTATCATGATTACTATAACGTCGATCCTTTCAAACCATTAAATGTTGAATTTAATATATTTACATTAGAAGAAGTTAAAAAGTTATCAGTTGCACGTATAGACTCACTTATTTCATTCACACCTCTTGGTGAACCGGTTCTTGGAGGTTTTTATGATGCTAGACTGGGGCCTACTCATATAAGTAGTAGTAAATGCATGACTTGCAATCAAAATGCAATGTCTTGTTCAGGCCACTTTGGACATATTGAACTCCCATGTCCTGTTATAAATCCTTTATATTCTTCAATGATAGTTCACATACTTAAATTGTGCTGCTTGTCATGCTATAAAGTTTTATTACCTCGTGAATTAACTCTAATTTTAGCTGCTCAGTTGAAACTTTTGGATAATGGTCAATTGGTTAATGCATATAATTTAAAAAATGAAATAAACAGCTTTTTTGATGAAGATGAACGAAAATTATCATCTGACGAAATTGAAACATTTATCAATTTATATTTAAAAGAGAATATTCAGGAAGATGATAATTCATATAATAAGAGTGCAGATGAAATACGACAAACTTTTATAGCTGAAACCTTAAATGAAGTAAGTAATGAAAATTCTTCATCTTAATTTCTTTGTGTGCTAATTAAGTGGTATTTTATGAATAGTTTTATTTTTATACTTCTCCCATTTTTATAATGTTAATGTTTCATTAGATATTAACTTTCTAGAAAATAATAGTTTAACATCAAACAGTAAAATAAATTTTGATTATGATCTTTTTTTAATAGTTTGATATAAATTTTCTTAATAATTAATATATATAAACCAATAGTATTTTTGTGAAAAGGTTAAATATTAAATTAAGGTTAATAGGTGAAATTTATTATGAGGAACTCTTATAAGTTATAGTATCATCAATGTATAACTTATTTAACTTAATTAAAATTGTTGTCATACTTAAAATTTTACATTTTACTCTTATTAACCCAAATTTTCAAACTACCCATTCTTTGGATTAGCTAAGTATTATATGTGAAAAATTTATATACAAGGTGATTTTATTGATGCTAGCCACTCAATTTCTCTGTAAGTAATAAGTTTTTTGGATATATATATATATATATATATATTTTTAATTTTGTTAGTTTCATATGTCTCTATTTATCGGTTATAAAATAATTTTTAAGTCCATCCCTTATATCTTATAAGTGTGGCACCTTGATATTTTTAAATAGCATCATTTTTATTAACTTATAAAGTAGAAAACTAGTCGATAACAACTTTTGAACTAATACTTTGGAAGTTATTAGCATTATAAAATATAAACTAGAGGTGAATCGTACAGGTTGCTATTTTTATCATCAATAATATCTTGGCTGCACTCCTACCACCTAGGTATAAAATTGTCATTATCTTCCGAAGTACTATTGTAAAAGTGTTTATCGTCCAGTCATTTTATATTTTATTAGCTAATTTAATATGTATTTTGACATTTATAAAAATAAAATTGACACACTTATATGACATAAGGGATGAATCTAAAAGTTATTTTATAACAGATAAAAGGAAATCCCATATGTAACTATCAAAATCAAAAAAAAATTTTCCAAAAACTTATTAATTTAGAGAAAGTCTGTTTGCTATCCCCTTTTTGAGTAGCTAGCGCCAAACCAACCTTGTATATAAAAATGTAAAATACATATTTAAAAAAAATTATAAATACATAATTTTTTTATGATATCTAATATTTATTATATTGAAGTGTATTACACTGGTCCAACTCTGCCTATACTTGTATAAATATTGTTGTAACTTAATATTTTAATTGATTTTATATATTTCACAGGTTGTTAGAAGAAAAGGATGTATACACTGTAATTGTATACTTTCAACAGTTTCAAAATCATTTTCTAAAATAACTATTTCTCATGGAATAAGGTCAAAGAAAGAAAAAAAAGTAAAAGAGTATCTATTTCCTGCTGAAATAAAGAAATTTTTAAGGCAAATATGGAATAATGAAAAACATTTTTTGACTGCACTATTACCTGTTTTAGATGGAGTTAATTTAGAATATCCCACTGATGCTTGTTTCATGACAAATGTGTTAATAACACCACCTAATTTAAGGCCTAATCTTATGGTCAAAGGTAAAATTGTAGAGAGCCCTAGAAATGCTACTTATAAATCAATTTTACGAGAAGCTAAACTGATACAGTATATACGTTTGATGAGAGATAGAGAGGAAGGTCAAGAAATTCCAGAAGACATTATAGAAATAGTTAAAGATAGTCAAGGGAAAGATAACATAGAAAAAGTACAAATAAGTATGCATAATTTACAAATGTGTGTTGATGCACTTCTTGATGGTACAGCAATGAGATCTATGAGTTTAAAAGATTCATCTGTTCAAATTGGTTTAAAACAGTTATTAGAGAAAAAAAATGGCATAATTCGTCAAAATATAATGGGCAAAAGGGTTGACTATTTTGCAAGATCTGTTATTACTCCAGATCCTTATTTAGATATTGACCAAATTGGTATTCCTGTAGAATTTGCTAAAAAATTGACGTATCCTATAGCTGTTACTGACTGGAATATTAAAGGCTTGCATAGTATTGTTTTAAATGGTCCAAATCATTACCCAGGAGCTAATATGGTTGAAACTGATATTGGTATCATTAAATGGCTATCTGCAACTAATAAATCTCGTCGTGAAGCCCTATCTAAAACACTTTTTTATCAAGGTCCTAATTCTAGAGGTCCTCAAATTGTTCATCGTCATGTAGTTGATGGAGATATGATGCTTGTTAACAGACAACCTTCCCTTCATAAGCCAAGTATAATGGCTCATAGAGTTAAAGTTTTGAAAGGAGAGAAAACTTTACGTTTACATTATGCTAATTGTAAAGCTTATAATGCAGACTTTGATGGGGATGAAATGAATGCACATTTGCCTCAAAGTGAGTTGGCTAAATGTGAAGCACAGGAGCTTGCAAGTGTTGTAAAACAGTATTTAGTACCACGTGATGGAACTCCATTAAGTGGTCTTATTCAAGACCATATTATATCAAGTGTACGTATGACAATTAGAGGTAAGTTTTTTACTCGAAGAGAATATATGCATTTTGTTTATCAAGCTTTAAGTTCATTAGATCAAGACATTAAAACTATACCACCAGCCATTATTAAACCAGTTATGTTATGGTCTGGAAAACAAATAATATCAACTTTAATTTTAAATTTGACACCCTCAAATCACAAGTGTTCATTAAATATGTTTTCAAAATCTAAACTTGAAGATAAATTCTGGAAAAATCCAAATAATTTTGATTATACCACATTTCTTTCTGACTTTAATGTAATTATAAAAAATGGGTATTTAATATCTGGAATTCTTGATAAAAATCATATAGGAGCATCTACTTGTAGTTTAGTACACTGTTTCTATGAACTTTATGGTGGAAAATATTCATCAAAATTACTTAGTGCTTTTAGTAAGTTATTTACTGTATATTTACAATTGGATGCTTTTACATTAGGTGTTATAGATATTTTAGTTACTAATGTAGCTGATTCTCAGCGTCAAACTACTATTACTGAGTCAAAAAATGCTGGAACATTAGCTGCATTAGAATCTCTTGGTGCTGAATTCTTATCTCAAGAAAATTTAACAAAAAAGTTGGCAGAAGCTTATAGCAAAAATGCTCATTTTTCTGCATTAGTTGATAGAAATTATAAAAAACACTTGCAGCCTTACACAAATAAAATAACTAAATCTTGTGTTCCTAAAGGTTTACTGCAACCATTTCCTGAAAATAATCTACAACTTATGGTACAATCAGGGGCTAAAGGGTCTACTGTCAATACTATACAAATATCATGTTGTTTAGGTCAAATTGAATTAGAAGGAAAAAGACCACCTTTGATGATCTCTGGTCGATCTCTACCAAGTTTTCCACCATATGATACACTACCCAAAGCAGGTGGCTTTATTGGAAGTCGTTTTATGACAGGAATTCAACCTCAAGAATTTTTTTTTCATTGTATGGCTGGCCGTGAAGGTCTCATTGATACTGCAGTTAAAACTAGCAGAAGTGGTTATCTACAACGATGTTTAGTGAAGCATTTAGAGAGCTTAATTGTAAATTATGATATGACTGTAAGAGATAGTAATGGAAGTATTATTCAATTTTTATATGGTGAAGATGGCTTAGAAGTAACAAAAAGTAGTTTTTTTAACAAAAAGCAGTTTAAATTTTTAGCTGATAATGTTGATTCTTTCAAAGCATTACAAAAAATAAGGAATGATCAATTTTACATAGAAATTGATAAACAATTGAAAGAAATCAAATTGGCATTATCAAAAAAAACTAATGATAAAATAGCCAAAAGAGACAGTGGATTTTTGAATTGGTGTAGAGATAATTCTAATATTAAAAGTGAAAAACATTTAAAAATAAAAAATGGCCGTTACAAAAGAAATACAAGATTATGTAAAAAATGGCAAGAATTAGATAATGAAATTAAAAAAAAGTAAATATTTTCATGGTTAAACAATTTGCAGTTTTTAAATATAATTAAATACATTTTTTTAGATATTCTTTAAAATTTGATAAGTTAAAGGATCCAGTAAGTGCTACTTTTCATCCTGGAGGGCATTATGGCTTGATTTCGGAAAAAATGGACATGGCAATTGATGAGTATTTTAATAACAAGTAAATAACTCAAATAGTTAAAAATTAAAAGTAGAAGAATGATTAAATTATTAATTGTTAAATTAAATTATACTATTTTTCTTCTCTACTTCAGGTGCTATTTAAAGATAAAAGATAAGTCTTTGAATAATTTTGTTTTTTCAACTTATAATAATTTATATAAATTTCATTTAAATATAATTATTAAAAATACGTTTTGAATCAAAAGTTTAACTTTATATATATATATATGTTTTAATTGTTGAACTCCCAAAAAGAAATCAGATATTCAAAAAATATGTCTTAAAAAAGAAACATTTTGAGAGTGGTAATTAAAAAATAAAATTGTTTTTTTCTTGTGTTTGCTCTTAAAATGGAAACCCATAATCCATCTTCTATCATCTAGAATGAATTCTAAATATTTTACCTAAATTGAATGGGGAATATAAAAATTGTATAGCAATTCTAAATAAAAAACAATAATTACCTTAGGCAGTCCAGAAAGTAAGTTTATAGTTGCTCTGAAAAATTGGGAGATATTTTTTTAAAGTTAGTATATCTGACGTGTAGCTAAACTTTGAGTAGTCATTTTGAGGTGTCCCTTGTATTTTTAGCCCATCTTGTGTAGTTGTAGCAAGCTTTTTCAGTCGAGAATTTATTGCGTAGTCACCTCTTATTATTGTGACATTCAAGTAGCCATCTATTTTCTGACTTTTCAAAACGATGCCACCACAAATATTGATTGTCGTTGAAGTTAATGATAGTAATGTGATTTATCAGCATGTTACCAAGTGGGTCAGATTGTTTAAGGAAGGTCGTACAGGTACTCACCATAAGATAAGAAATAGAAGACTATCAGTGATTTCTGACAATTTTGTGCGAAAAATGATAAAAGACTGCTGTGTGACTCTCCCAGACCTTCGTAAATTTTTGCCAGTCCATTTATGAAATCTTCTTGGTAGGATTTATTGGAAAAACTAGGCTACAAAATCTGTGTGCAAGATGAGTACCCAAGATGCAGACATCTGAGCACAGTCAAAAACACATTCTACTAGTTTTGGTATGTTTTGAACAAAAGGAAAATGCATTTTTGTACTCAATTATTACTGTCACTATACCCCAGAATCGAAAAGACGATCTTTTCAGTGGTGCCAATTAATATCACCAGTGGCCATGAAATTAAAAAAAAAAACCCATCTGTAGAAAATTTAATAGCAACTGTGTTTTGAGATAGAAAGATAGTTCTTTTAGTAGAATTCATAGAAAAAAGAACGAAATTAATGTGCATACCCTTTAAGTTTTTAAAGGGTCAATTCAGAATATAAGGAGGGAAACCCTTAGAGCTTGCCTTCTGCAAGATAACGCAACATCTCTTGTGTTTTGTAGAGAGTCTTTACCTCGTTTGAATGGGATATTGTGAAATCACTCCCCTTACTATTTACTATGTAGTAAATATTTTATACTATATTAAACTATTATTCTAATATTCAAAAAAATAGTCGTCATTTATCAATACAAGTTTTAATTTTATGTACAAAAATATAAGGAATTTTTCAAATTTCTTTATAAAACTTTAAAAGATTTGCAAAATCTGCTAAGAGGTGCTTATAGACACAGTTAATAAAATTAGTTAGTCAGTAGATAACTCTGATATATATTTCCAAATTAATATAAAAAACACATTAATTTGGATTTTACATGTATACTTTTTAAAAATTATGTTTTAATAGTATAACTTGGCAATTGTTGTAAATTATTAAAATAAATTTTGTAATTTTTAGTTATGATGATGTCAACGATAAATTAATAAATAATGTTAAGGAATCCATCAGACTTAAAGCAATGACTGCTACAGCAGCTGCAGGTGAACCTGTTGGATGTATAGCTGCTCAATCAGTTGGAGAACCATCTACTCAAATGACACTCAATACTTTTCATTTTGCTGGACGTGGTGAAATGAATGTTACATTGGGTATACCAAGACTTCGTGAAATTTTAATGATGGCTACAAAAACTATCAAAACACCTTCAATGGAAATACCTCTTATTCAATCTGAAAAGTAATTTATCAATATTAAATAAGAAACTTTTCAGAATTGCCTAATTTTTAAAAATTGAGAGCCCAAAATGATTATATTAAATCTACACTTAAAAGAAAAAGTAACCATAAAATAATTTTTATTGTTAGTTATCTTTTCAGTGAAAAATAATGGGTATGGCACTCTTATGTTTATTCATAATTTTGAACCATTTATTAGCAAAGTTCCATCCTGGCTTGTAAGGTATCTAACATTTTTAGCAATCATCATTCAAATAAGTGATTATAAAAATTGATTTCCACACCAATGTAATTTTTTTTTTTTTGCAATATTAATTCACAAGGGAAGATCTAAAAGAAAAAACCCAGCACAGGGGGGTTGACGCACAGTGGTGACGTGGCATAGTTGAATCAAGTATAATGATATCTGATATTGATTAAAATCACTTTAAACAAAAACGCTTCGATGCTAATCTTTAGATAGTGTTTACTTTTAAAACATTGGTGGATTATTCCAAAAGCTACATGATCTGCTATTTTCTTATTAATATTCTGATTAAGATAAAGTATGTCGAATGAAAAAGGGATATAAATATTATTTCTCATAAAAAAATTGTGTTGATCCATACACTTTTCAATAAGTTGTGCATTATAAAGTTAAAAATGTAAAAAATAAAATCGAGAATTTTCACACAAAAATAGCATTTGGTAGCCATTTTCAAAGTGAAGACAAAATAAAGTCCAACATTTTTTTTTTCCATAATAAAGTACATTACATTAGCTATAATTTAAGATATATATAAAAGTGTCAGACTTTCCGGAACACTTTCAAAAGTTAAGTGTAAAAGTAAATTTTTTGTGAAAAAGTTGTCATTTTGAATCTCTCCTGTAGTCAGGTAAAGGGTCAAATTTATAAAAAAAAAATTATATTAATTTGTTTATTTTTAAAAAAATGACGGCAGTTTTAAGTAAAAAAAATTGAAAAAATTAGCGATTTTTAAATTTGTAATTTTTTTGGAGGTTTCCCCCATTTACATGGAACGAGGGAAATTTTTTCAATTTTTGAGGGTAATGTCTTCTACTAGATACGATTTGTGATCTTTTGATGTATCATTGAAAGAAAGCCGTTCAGTGAAAGATGAGGAAAAGTGGTAACAGACACAAAAAAAAAAAAAACACATCATATTAAATCAATACCATCTTCTCAGCTTCGCATCGAAGCTAAAATACAAATGCTTTAGCTCACTTAAAATAAATTTATTTTGATGAAAATTTCAGAGTGAGTACTTCAGGTATATAACTTTACTTCTACATTGTCACAGTCTACTTCAACCATTTTTTATACTAAAAATCGAACTTTGTAAGATAACACCATATCTGAAGTCTTTGTCACTACTATAGTGTTTTTTCTACAAAATTTCTTTTTTGACTTATTAATTAAAAACCCCAAAACATAAGGTGCATATTATGAGAAGATGAAGAGAAATATTACATTCAAATAACATACAGATGTCTGTTTTCTTGACAGACTAAAATGTTGACATTGATAAATATAAAAAAGGATCTCTTAGACAAAATTCTGTTTCTGAACAAACAGGAGTTTATTTATGAAGTAACTGCAAAACACATCAATGTGTATTTTAAAGCTTTGAAAAATTGTGATATGTTATTAAATACAACAGGCATGATTAGGTATAAGTATAATTATATTCCTTATTTTTAGTGTTCAAGAAAAAGCTGAATCATTAAGAAAGCTCATGACTAAAATGACATTAAAAGATGTTCTTTCTAAGATACATGTTCATGAAAAAATTAAATTAACTCCAATTCGACACACATGTTATGACTTGATTTTATACTTATTGCCTCATCGATGTTATGAATCAATTACCCATATAACTCCCAAAAAGGTTATGAAGTTTATTAAATATGAGTTTCCAATTAGTTTACAAAAAATGTTTGAAAAAAATTTATCAAACAATTTGAGTGGAGAACTGATATCAGAAGAGGCAAAAAAAGCATTAAAAGTTAATAGAAAAAAAAATGATGTAAACAATGAAGATGCTTTATTGGTTAGTATACTTAGTATTCAAACTTTATAACTAATTTATAATTAAATTTTAACTGATTTTATACAATTAATATTCATTTAATTAACTTATTCCATTTTACGTACGAATTATATAACTTTTTAATTATCCCACTAAATTATATAAAATTATATGTTTTATTAAGCTAAGTTTTTAAGTAACTGTTTTAGAATGATACCGAACCACAAGAAAGTAAATCAAAAGATAATTCTGATTCAGACAGTGATTCAGAAGCTGGAGAATTTGATTCTGCAGCTATGAAAAGAAAGTAATTAATTGAATGATTATTTTTAAACTAGAATATAGATTTTGGTTCATTATCAAAAAACATTTTTTAAAAAGTAACATATTTTGCTTCCTTCATTTAAACAAAATAATAATGATTAAACTGACATAATAGAACACACTTCTATGTATTTATGTTCTTATTTGTTCAAAAAATTTAAGTAAAAATACAATAATTTATAGCATTTTAAACTTTAAATCTTCCAAAACTGGTAGCTTTTTAATTTTACGTCAATGAAAAATTAATTTAAGTTGAACAATTGGATGTTTTAGTATTGTATTATATTTTTCAAGTTTGTATTTATCATATGATATACTGTTATTCAACTTTAGACAGTTATTATAAAAACTAAATAACTTTAATAGGATTTATACTTTTAAAAATTAAAAATATATATCTCAAAAACAAGAATTGATAAGACAATTGGAATCAGCGCCCCCAAAATATTTAGAAATAACCCTCACACTCCTGCAGCTAACAACTTTTTTTTAGTGACCAATGTAATTGATATTAGAGATGTATCTAGGATTAAAATTTAAGACAGGCCTAGTTATAATTTTAACCTATAGTACTGAGGCTTAACCTCTATTATCATTTTAATGACTTTTTTAATCATTATTTGAGAATAATTAATAATTTAAGTATTTCATGCTTAAAGCTAGATCTAATAACAGGGTAGATCAGACATACCACTGAACATATATCATTATATCAAATCTCTAAATAATAAAGATGTACAGTATTTTATTCCTCTAAATTCTATAAAAGTAAAAAACTTATCAGATCATACATTTATGTTTATATTGGTATATTATATAATTTCATCCTCTGTACAGATAAACTTGTATCCCTCTTGCTACACCAAATGAATGTTTTAATTTTTAATTTTTTGACTTTTTTTTTTGTTTGTGGAAATAAAACTATTTACTATGTAGTTTGTCTTCAATATATTACTCTATTTATTTAAAATTTAGATAACAATTAAATTTTTTATATTTCCTGAATAATAACAAAAAGTGACATGTACCCTTTCTCATAAGAACATCCATCTAAACTCCACACACATATAAAACTAATATTATACCTAGTATTTAAAGAAAAAATTCAAATATATTTTTCAATTGGCACTTGTTTAATGAAAGAAAAAAATATATTATTTTAAGAGCACAAACTGAGGAATATGACTATGAAAAAGATGAAGATGATCCTCAAAGTGATGGGGAGATTAAATCAGATGATAATCAAAGTGAATTTGAATCAACAATGAATATTGAAGATAATAAGACAAAAGAAGATATTGGCTCTATATTTGACAAAGAAAATAAAATGCAACAATCTAAATTAATTGAAAAAGACTTTTCCTGTGTTACAGTTATAGTTAACAAGTAAGAAAATGTATATTTTTAAATTACAATTGTTTTTGTTAGACTTTACCTTTTTTATAAATTGGTGTTGAAAATAGATTAATGACAAATTATAAAAACCCAGCACAGTGGGGTGGCGGCACAGTGGGGTCGTGGCATAGTTGGGTCCAGTATAGATGATATCTGACAGTGATTAAAATCACTATCATAAAAAACGCTTCGATGCAAATCTGTAGATAGTGTTTAATTTAAAAAAAAAAATTTGTTAAAATAGCATATATTTGAATACGGTAGCCATTTGCGCATAGAAGATAGGTCGTCGGGACAAATTTTTTTTTTTATTTTATAGTACATAAAATAAGTTTTAATTTGATATATGTATAAAGGACGCAGTATTTCCGGAACATTTTCAAAAGTTCAGTTGAAAAAGATCTGTTTTTTACAATATTTCAAGTTTTGAACGCCCCTTGTATAAGGAGAATTTGTCCAATTTTAATAAAAAGTATGTCAAATGAAAGATGTACTTATAATGTATTTCGAAAAAAAAATTGTGCTGATATATACATTTTTCAAAAAGTTATAGCATTTTTAAGTTGAAAATTTAAAATCGAAAATTTTAACACAAAAATAGCGTTTTTTTAACTACGGCAGCCGTTTACATGCAGAAGATAAAGTGTCGGGACAAATTTTTTTTTTCATTTTATAGTACATAAAATAAGCTTTAATTTGATATTTTTTGAAGGACACAGTATTTCCGGAACATTTTCAAAAATTAAGTTGAAAAAGTTAGTTTTTGTAAAAAAGTTGCTATTTTAAATCCCCCTCCATGAGCAGGTTAAGTGTTAGATTTTCAACAAAATGATATCAAACGAAAGCGAAATATCNAGTGTTAGATTTTCAACAAATTGATATCAAACGAAAGCGAAATATCTAAGGTTTAAGTATAAAAAAAAATTATGTTTATTTTTTAAAAAGTTATGGAAGTTTTAAAAAAAAAAGTGAAAAAAATGACAAAATTTACCGATTTTTAAATTTGTAATTTTTTTGGATATTTCCCCCATTTTCGCGGAACGAGGGAATTGTTTTCAATTTTTAAGGGTAATGTCTCCAACTAGATACGATTTGTGATCTTTTGACGTACTTTTGAAAGAAATCGGTTCAATGAGAGCTGAGAAAAAGTGGCGACATAAAAAAAAAAAAAAACACATTATAGTAAAATTAATACCTTCTCAGCTTTGCATCGAAGCTAAAAAATTTGATAATGTTTAGAAAGAATTTTCATTTTTAAGTGTAAATATTTATTTTCTAATTTATTATTATAATTATGATTATTATTTTTTTAAATTACTATTGAGGAAAAATTAGTTACAGAAAAACAGGATCTAATTTTTGTTTAAAAAAAAATTTTACCCATAGAAACTGAAATTGAGTTTCTGTTTACTTATTTAAAATCTAACAATATTTTATTAAACATTATCAAACATTAATTAGTTTAGAATGCTTAATATGTTTAATATAATTTGTCAAACATCCTAAAAATAACACAGAAGTAATATATAAATATATTTAAAGCAGTCTACTTAGCTTAGTTAGGAATGCATCATGCCTAGGTATGGGATTCAATTCTGTTGTACTGAGCCATATAGATTTTTCCATCCTCTCTAACAGAAGTATAGTTTTTCAAAGAGGACATTAAATATAAATAGAGTAACATAAATAATAATTTGTAAAAAAATATATATATTTTTTAGGATTGACAAAGTACAATCTTCGTGGGCTAAAATTAAAGTTACTGTTCCACTTGAATTTAAAAGACTTGATTTAACATCGTTAATTAGAGATTTAGTTGAACGTGTAGTTATACATGAAATACCTGGAATAAATAGAGCTATTTTGACTGAAGTTAATGGTAAAACTATTTTAAAGACTGAAGGATCTCAAGGAGTTGCTGAACTTTTTAGATTTCAAGACCTAGATTTAAATTCATTATATTGTAATGATGTACAAATGATGTTAAATACTTATGGTATTGAAGCTGCTAACAGGGTTATCATTAATGAAGTAAAAAATGTGTTTAAGGTATATTTGTTTTTAAAAAATCATTTCATTTTATTTGTTTATGTATATATTAATGCTATACTATGATTAAATATCAGGTTTATGGTATCAATGTAGATACTCGTCATTTGTCATTAATAGCAGATTACATGACCTATGATGGTAAATATAAAGCATTGAACAGATCTGGGATGAATGATTGTCCATCTCCACTGCAACAGATGTCATTTGAATCTACTTTAAGTTATTTAAAAAAAGCAACTGCTTTGAAATTAAAAGATAATCTAGTATCACCATCTAGTGCTTTAGTTGTAGGCCAGCAAGCAAAAATTGGAAGTGGCCTTGTTAAATTATTATGGCAGTGATAAATTCTAGAAAATGACATAAGTTTGTTTTATTGTTCAAATAAAATTGGAAAAAAATAATGTGCATTTGATTTTTTTTTTAATATGTACTTGAACCAAATGTATCTAACAACTCTTATAACTTTTGATTCAATAAGAACTTTGTGATAATATTATTAAACAATTTTTGCATTCTTAGATTAGATTTAAAAAATATTTATTTTCTTTAGTAAAAAGAAAAATACAAATTAATATATATATATATAATTTTTTTTTTTTTTTCAAAAATTCCAAAATAACAATTATTTTAGTCTCTTACTTATAAAAGATTATGGTAAGTTATTAACCCACTTTAGGACAAGTACTTATTGAGTTACAAGCATTTAAGACGTAGTGAGTATATAGCATGGATGGATTGTGCATTATAAATACACACTAGTATGAGCTATACCCATCCACATCTGTTCATATATAAATAAATAAATTATAAAATATAATTTATTTATATAGTAACTCTGATAGGATTTTTTTAAATAATGTTTTTATAACATTATTTTTTTTAATTGCTATCTGGGAAATAATCTAAGTTACTATAATAATGTCAGTGTTTGAAAATGGCATAATTTTTAATGTAAGTTGGGGAATTAAATAATTAAGCTTTACATACAAAATTCAAATTCCTCTAACATCAACGTAATTATTGAAAATATGAAGTATTTTAAACATGCCTTACTGTGTCGTTTTTACGAAATTTTTCACTGGGGACAATATACTGCGTAATGTTTAAGCTCTTCAAAAATTATGGTTATGATTTTGTTTGTGTAAAAATATATTTCAATTAGGTGAAATTACAATTAGTATCCTTAAAACTTGTGTACCATTTGTGTCAATGATACTCTGAAAATCTCTTTTTAGTTTATTTTTTATTGGGTTTTAATTTGTTTATGACATTTAAAATAAAAACACTTCAAAAATATAAAAATTTAATCTACTCTCGATGGAATCCAAATTTTTGTTTAACTATTAGAGTATGACTATATTATAGCAGTTCCCCAAGTATATTTGTTTTTTTAAGTACATAAATGCTTATATATACACATTTTTGTTGCATGAAATTCACAGCCCTAGGTAAGCAAATTATCGCTAGATACTGGCCAATTTTACAAAATGTACAAGGAGATCTTATAAAACACTAATTGTATAAACCATGTTTCTGGTATATTGAAACCACGATTGTAAACTTTTTAAATTAATCACCTAACCTAATTTTTCAGATTTGAATAAGAGGATAAGTCAATTTATATATTGTTATGATATTTAATTGAAGATTTTTATTTTTGATACATACGTTGTTAATTATATCTACAAGAAGCTGTTATATTACAAGTTTTTGAATTAAAAAACATATAAAAACTATGTCGGGATCTGTGAGTGCTCTTACTGTAGCTGGTTCTCGAACATCTGGAACTCCAATTCGAACACAAAATGTGATGGCTGCGAATGCTATTGCTAATATAGTTAAAAGTTCTTTAGGACCAGTTGGATTGGATAAAATGTTGGTGGATGATATTGGGGTAAGATGACTATATGCATATAAAACATCTTTATTTTTGTTTAACTCAACATTTACTTAAGGATGTAACAGTAACCAATGATGGAGCAACAATATTAAAACTATTGGACGTTGAGCATCCTGCTGCGAGAGTTCTTGTAGAGTTGGCTCAATTACAAGATGAAGAAGTTGGTGATGGAACAACATCAGTTGTTAGTATATATTGCATTAATATTAATTTAAATCTACAGATTATTGATTATTATTTTGTTATAAAGGTTATTATTGCTGCTGAATTATTAAAAAATGCTGATGAATTGGTCAAACAAAAAATTCATCCTACATCTATTATAAGTGGATATCGCTTAGCATGTAAAGAATCATGTAAATACATACTAAACAATTTGACTGTAGGTGTAGATGATCTGCGACGTGATTGGTTAGAAAATGCTGCTACTACATCTATGTCAAGTAAATTAATCATGGCTGATTCTGAATTTTTTTCAAAGATGGTAGTTGATGCTTGTATGTTAGTTAAACGCCCATCAGATAAACGAGGTGGTGTATCTGTACCTATAAAGACAATAAATGTTCTCAAAGCTCATGGCAAAAGTGCTAGAGAAAGTTTACTTATACAAGGTTATGCTTTAAATTGTACTGTTGCATCTGAAGCAATGACAAAAAAAATTACCAATGCTAAAATAGCTTGTCTAGATTTTTCCTTACAAAAAACCAAGATGAAATTAGGTGTGCAAGTTTTGGTAAATGACGTAGATCAGTTAGATGCTATAAGACAAAGAGAATCTGATATTACTAAAGAACGGGTGCAAAAAATATTAGCTACTGGCGCTAATGTAATTTTATGTACTGGTGGTATTGATGATATTTGTTTAAAGTACTTCATTGAAGCTAAAGCTTTAGCTGTGCGCCGTGTGAAGAAAATTGATTTAAAAAGAATTGCTAAAGCTACTGGTGCAACTTTTTTGACTTCATTAACAAATATGGAAGGAGAGGAAAGTTTTGAAAGTTCCTGTCTTGGTGAAGCTGTAGAAGTTGTTCAAGACCAGATATCTGATGATGAATTAATAATTATTAAAGGCCCTAAAGCTCAAAATGCTGCTTCTATTATATTAAGAGGTCCTAATGACTTTTATTGTGATGAAATGGAACGATCTATACATGATGCTTTATGTGCTGTACAACGAGTGCTTGAATCAAAATCTGCTGTAGCTGGTGGTGGTGCAGTTGAAGCTGCTTTATCAATATATTTAGAAAACTTTGCAACTTCTTTAAGTTCTAGAGAACAATTGGCTATTGCAGAATTTGCCCGTTCCTTACTAGTTATACCTAAAACTTTGGCTATTAATGCTGCTCAAGACGCTACTGAACTTGTTGCAAAATTAAGATCGTATCATAATGAAAGTCAAACTAGTAGTGAAAATGATGTGTATAAATGGTATGGATTAGATTTAGAAGGTGGCGAAATACGAGATAATTTAAAAGCTGGAGTTTTAGAACCTGCAGTTTCTAAAATTAAGTCTCTAAAGTTTGCTACTGAAGCTGCAATTACTATTCTTAGAATAGATGACATGATCAAGTTAGAACCAGAACAAAAGAGTGGACGTGGTTATCAACAAGCATATGATGCAGGGGAATTATAAATTTAACATTAAACTTTTCACGTATCTAACACTAGAGTAAGATAATGCTAATATATTTTATATTTGCATAATGTGAACTGAAGATTTTTTGAATAGTTCACATATATTTTGTTAAATTAAATATTTCTTTAACTTTTCTTATTTATAATTTTTAAGGTTCTAAAATAAAAAAAATAACAACAAAAAAAATGTGTTTATTTTTAATTGGAAATTAATATAACTAATTTTTAGATTATTATATAAAATAGAAACGTTTGTGTACATACTGTATGCTTTGGTAATACTACAATAATTATTAGATTTGTTTTAACAAAAAATGTTGATAAATTGATAAGAACTTTAGAATAAATATTGAGTTACAAGCATTTCAATACATGCCTACTTTATATGTTTAAATTATTATAACTCAATAATTTCTTATATTAAAATTGTTATCGGCCCGTTAAATTTTTTTATAAAAAATGAAGTAAAATTTTGAAAAAATAAAAAGAAGTGTCAATATTATTTTTTATTAAAGAAAAATAAAAATACTTTTAACTTAGTCTAGAACTGTAAAAATTATTTTAAAAAAAAGTAACACAAAAATAAATATTTACTAGATTAAAAGTTATTACAGATAAAAACACCTAGTGATATACCTGTATATTACATATTTTAGGGTAAGGAAAAAATTTATTAAGCTCCCTCCAACATTTTATATTAGTTACACCAATTTAGTGTGACATAGTTCAATTTAGAGTATGAAAATAAATATTTTCTAGGTTATTTACTCTATGACATAAAAAAAAAACAAATTGTATATAGAATTTAAAGGACAATTGTGATGTGTGTAATTGAAACAGGTACATTCTTAATGTTTTTACTAAGTTATGAGAATAATAATTATTTTCATAACTGAAAAAAACCAGCACAGTCACAATAAGAATAAGTATAAATTGATTTCTGATGATGATTGTTATTATTATAAAAACATTTTGATGAAAAATTTCAGAATAATTTGTATATTTGTAATTTCATAATTTCTGTTGTATAATATCACTGAAACATTAAATGATTATTAAATCATTTGTTTACTTGAAAATAATAATTTTTTTATTCTGATTTATTTATACACTAGTCTTTGCCTTAATGAGCCCCAGATCCGGTACTCTGTAAGATGTCCTTTAAGGTAGGTCATTGATTTTGGTAGGAGGTTAATAAGTGATATGCAGGAAAAGTATTATTCTAGAAGCAGTTTAACAGAAATATAATAGACATTTAATTAATAAAATGAGTAAAATTCAAAAATAGTAAATAGTTAAATGTATAGGATATAAATTTTACATTTTTGACTAAGGTAAACAATATTTTAATATATTTCAATTTTAAAACTAACTTAGGTATAATAAAATATAAATAAAATTGTATTATGAAGTCAAGGCAATAGGTTAAAATAAATATTATTGTGTAGAATTTAAATTTATATTAGAATATAATACATCATATAAATTATCATTAACATTTAATGTAAAAACTATAGGAAAATGTCTTACCACAAAGAAAAAATTTGTTCAAAAAAAAAAAGGGAAAAGGAAATAAGAAAAGTTATTTATGAAAATAACAATAAATGAACTTTTCTATCATACAATACTTAATTTTTAAAACATTCTATACAATATTTTTTATTAGCTACATGAAATAATAAAAAAATTACCTAATAATAAGACTAAAAATATTTAGCTGTATTTCTAAGGTATCTTTAAACACTGTGTTATTATAGTATACAAGTGTATTTGTGTACTATAATAACATGCATAAAATTTATACTAATTTGACATACAAAAACCAAAATAACTACTAAAAACAATACGCGTAGCTTAAAAAAAAAAAAAAAAGCACATAACCTGGGTCAAAATTGAACAGATTTTAAAGACATTTTCAGGGTACCTTTAGAATGTCTCTGGGCAGGTCTGGTAAACATTTTAGATTTTAAATCGAAAAACGTTGGCGGCAATGAGCGTTTTTAATAGAATTTTTAAACGCTCATGGTGTGGAAAAAAAAATGTTCTCATTTTCGTGAATAATTTTTCTAGATAACGTCGTCAAGATATTTCATTTAAAAACAATTTTTGAAAATCGTACGTCGTTAAGTCATTTTTTCAGCATTGTCTAATTTTTTAACGTTTTTATTATATAGTAAGATGTGTAGGTGATTTCCTTCAAATCCTTCTTGAATTCAAGTATTTTAATATTCAAACAAAACATATTCATAAAAAACATATTATTATAAGTTAACTGTGTTAAAATTTCATTAAGATCAATTTTTTTAAACAAAAGTTTTAACATAAAAAAAATTTCTCATGAACCGCGGTATGTTAACCAATTTTATCATTTTTAGTATTGTATTTTTTTATTTAACATGTAATAATCTTGAGTATTCTACAAAAAACTTTTTGACCAGTTGTATTTAATTATTCAATTAAATACATGATATTTTAGTTTTATGAGTTTATAATCTAAAAGTAATATAGAATATTTATAAAAATAAGTCAATAATTCAAATATTAAAATTATAATTTATTCATTATTACATTTTGAAATTAATTCACAACAATGTATGGTTAACAGTTAATGTTAAAATAAAAATATTTAACAAAAATAAAACAAATTAGAGTGAAAAAAAACATTTAATAATTATCAAAACAATGTTAATGTTTATTATAATACAAAATTTTTCTTTTATTTGGAAATATACTCTGTAGAAAAGCTGTTTTAAAATTTAACGACATTAATATTAAATTGAGTTGGATAATATTAGTATACATAGTCTCTTAGTTATATTTACGATTATTATTTTACAACATACACATTTATTTACAAAAATAATACAAAGCATAAAAATAGAAATTGTACTGTTTTAAAATATATAGGCTATTCTAGTTTTATTACACACTACTAATAATCATTACTAATAGTGTTATTTTATAATTGTTATATCTTAATATGTAATAAGTAGATCTGTATTTATTTTGTTATTTTAAAATTAATTTGATTACATTATAAATATTCATAATAATGATTATATATACATTTAAATAAATTGTAAACATTAATGAGAAAAAAATCTTGAGTGAATGATTACTTATAATTTAAAGAAGATAGTTTAATTAAACAAATTCAACTTTACAAACATAAATTTTTAAATGTAAATACCCTTGAACAAATTTTATAAAAATATACATTTATAATTTTAAAACTAAAATAATGAAATAAAAATTCATAGAAAATGTATAAAATTACACATTATTAGTGTACAAAATATAGAATAAAAAATAACATACCATATCCAAATTCAATGTATAAACAATAATAATATATGTTAAATATTAATTACATAAATATTGCACATAATACCTCTATTATTTATTTTTCTTATTTTTTATTATGTAATGAAACTACTACAAATCAATTTATAAAATAAAATTCCATTGAATACTCATAATATTAATATATAAAATTAAAAATATTGTTCTTTAAATAATAATGATAGTTTATCAAGGCATTGCTTATTAATTACTATTGAATTTGAATATAGTTCAAAATAGATACACAGATTTTTTTCAATTTTTTGATTAATTGTCATGAAGTTAAAAAAAATATATATAAACTATTCAACAAACAAATATATTGAATGATTACTTTAAAATACTTAAGTACATTGTACAAATATTTAAATATTCTTATAGAAAACTAAATTGTTCTATCAAATAATTTTTATAATCAAATCAAATGGCACATATTATCTACATCAAATGATAAATAACATAAATAAATAAATATTATTAGTAGAGTAGATATTCAAATACCATACTAAATTTTTGTACATAATCTAGTAGTAACTAGTATACTTTTAATAAAGAAACCACAGACATTTTAAATATTTGTATTAAAATTGTGATTTTGAATGGCACCTAATGTTGATAAAGTTTTTTTAATGCGTAATGCAGTAAGTCGAGCTGATGCTGTATGATACCAACATTCTTGCATAAGTTTACTCATTGTTTGCAAACACTAAATAATTAACACAGTTCAAGTTATTTATAATAAATTTGTTACAAATTAAAAATTTTACCGGACAAGCATTCCATTTTTGAGGTATAAGTGGTCGTTTCATTTCAAAACAAACAACTTTACGCATTTCATCAATTGTGGGATCTGATGGTACACTATCATAATATGGCAGTTGATAATCTTCTTGCATATTTCCAATATTGCATCTTCTAGTAATTTCCCATAGTATTAAACCCAAAGCATAAACATCACCTCTTTTAAATGAATCAAAATGATTCATATTGATTGTTTCTTCTAAAACCTATCATATTATCAAATAATAAGCATTAAATTATTTATACTTTTTTTTTATAATTACTAGAGGTTAAAGTAAATTACCTCGGGTGCCATATACCGTTTAGTGCCTACTCTATGATTTAATGGTATATCAACAGTATCCATTGAAGTATCATAACGAACAGCAAGTCCTAAATCACCAATTGCACAAGTTCCATTAGATTTAACTAAAATATTTTTTGATTTAAGATCACGATGTGCAATAGCTGGCTTTCCTAAAATACATTTAACATAAGTATAATTAAATTAAGAATTAATTATAAATTAAATACAAAGAAATATAATTTATTGTGTTTATACTATATCAAGAAATAAAAAGTCAATGTGTCAAATATCTATATTTAAAAATTAAGTTTTTTTTTATATAAATATTGAGTGGCTTAGCAATGGTAGAATTGTGGTAGTAAATTTTGTATGAAATTATTATATAAACTAAAATTAATAGTTTGAAAATAACATATGTTCAACACTGTCTGTATAGTAAATTCTTTAAAATAATAAAACTCTAATTAGTGATAATTAAAATAACTAAAAGAAATAAAAACTTTTAATATAATTATTACAAACAAAAAATTATATAACTATTACATTACTTTAAAGCATAAAATATATAAATAGTAATAATAATAAAACAATAAAATAAAATTAGTTGTCACTAGAGTAAATTAAAAATGATATAACTTCATTTTATAAATTAAAAATAGGTAATAGTCGTAAATATATTGTCTAAGGAATTAATTTTTATTTACTATTAAAATACAATAATATATAAATTAAATATTTAAAAAATTATACACTACCTTGAGTTCCAACAATTTCCATATGTAAATGTGCTAGTCCAGTTGCAATTGATAAAGCCATTCTTATCATACCATTTGTGTCAACCGTAGTTCGATTTAAAAAATCAAACAAAGATCCATTTTCATGATAATCAGTTATAAGCCATAATTGAGTCCATGTTCCATTATCTAAAAAAACATTTGTTAATTATTCTAAGTTAACTTTTATGATTTTGTTTATATTCACCTTTATTATCTGCTGCTATAAATCCTAATATATTATCATGACGCAACATAACAGTTTGATATATTTCTGCTTCCCTAAACCATGACCTTTCTTCTCTTGATGAGAAAATTTTTACAGCGACTTGTTCACCACGCCACTTTCCTTGCCAAACTTCTCCAAATCTCCCTTTGCCAATAGGTACACCTAGCTGAATTTGCCTAGCAATACTTCTTTGAACCAAGAGGGGTAAACCTAAAATAATAATAAAAAATATTAGTTAACTAGGAAATTATCAAATGAAATTAATCTATATGATAACTCTGCTTAATGCACTTGTTTTTACTTTAATCTGAATAAATTCATTAATAGTTCTTTTCATAATATAAGATTTATTCAGTAAAAAATGTGCACTGTCAGTTTCTCTATGATAAAACCTATATAACTTCAGACCAAATTCAAAATTATTACTATTTTTAAAGAGAATCTTCACAAATGTTTACTAATTATAATTTATAATAAAATTATTACTATTTATAATTATAACTTATGCCAATTTACACTTAAATATTTATTTATTAAATTTTAAATATCATTGTTAAAATGAAAAATTTTAAATCACACAATATTTTAATAATTTTATAATCACACCTGATCCTGATCCACTTGTAGTCATTTCAATCATGTCTCTTAGTGATACAGCTGCAGTTAAGATGGGCTGCTGATCAGCAGCTATGGTACGAGGAGTTGGTAAATATCTTATGTTATGTCGTTTATTAGAACCAGTCAAAAAGTTCATGATTAACATAACAACTAAACAAACAACTGCAATAGGACCAGCTATGATAATAGCCAATTGCCATGTACCCAAACGTTCCTTACTTCTGCGGCTGTTTTCATTGTCATCTAAATCATATTTAACATTATAAATAATAAAATAAAGATATCATAGGAGTAAAATTTTAGCATTAATATTGGAAAAAGTTAATAAATAAACCCATGCTAAGTTATGAAACACCTACCTGGAAGCCTAACATGTAATGTTGGCTTTAAATCTTTGTTACAAAAGTCATATTCTTTACAACATTCTGTTACAAAAGAATCATTATGTTTATTAGGGTAGTGACAAACCAAAGGTTTTTCTCTTGGAATCACAATATTATTCTCCAAACACCTAAAATAATCACACAGTTACACAAACATGTTAATCAAACTATAAAACTTTGGTTAGCCAGTTAATAAAACTATATTAGACACCTAAAAATGAATTTTTAAAACTTATAAAAATGTATTTATTTTAAAACTAACTTTTAGTTAAGAAAAAATAAAAATTCAAGTTTAACCAGGATTATATATTAGTACTTGAGGAATATTATATAAACTTCACAATAGTTAAAAGGGTCACACACAAACAATAAATGACCTGTAGATTTAGCTTCAAATAATTTTGGATACAACAATCGATTGCAATAGTTTCGATCCTGGCAACAGAATATTGAACTTTCCTCACGTAGCTCTTTTCGAAAACAAATACGAGGATTTTCTGGTGGAAGAAACTGGGCCTTGTGCAAACAACTTAAATTCAATTTCGAAAAAAATTACTTAATGGAAATATCTTTTTGGTTTAAAGATGCACAATGAAATAATATTAATTTAAAAGATTATTTTTAATTTTACATAGAAAAACTTGTTGAACTTTAATTAAAACTTAATGCCCCAAAAGAGAAATTTTACTTGTCCAAGATAAGAATAATAAAAGGAAATAAAATGTTTAATGATTTGGTTTAATAAAAATTTTATCACTTAAAAATAAATAATCATCTAATGTATATGTATTTTAATTTTATACATTGTATTTTTGATTTTTAATTTTTATATGCAATTATCAAGCTTAAAATAAATTTACACAGTAATATATTTTAGGAATCCTCTTTCAATAATAAATTATTAAATAATTTATGACCAAAAATCTTCTGTTAAAAACACAATATTAATACTTTTGATTTCATTAAATATTCAAGTGTTCTATGATAAATAAAATGTAAAATAAATCTTAAAGTATTAATTAAATATGTTTTATTAATATATCAACATAATAAATAATTATTAAATTAAAAAAAAAAATTATTTATTTAAATGTGTAGTTAGTAATGAATTTTGCAACATTATTTATTACTTCACATTATAATGTCTATCTGTATTTAATGACCATCTTATTTGATTATTATAGTACAAATCAAAATAAAATTTATTTATTTAACTGATATTTCATAGTTCAAATGCAGAAGTATTAATATTATTTTTTAAATTTGTAAGGCACCTTTTCAACCACAAAAAAAGGTACTAAAAATTATTTTTTACTTATACCATTGAGAAGTTAAATCAATTTAAGAACTCTATACCTATATTCAACAAATAATTTGAATCAACTATTTATTTTACAATTTTAGTAGAAAAAACTTTGTCTGATGTTATAGACAATTTTTTAATATTTCTTTTTTTATAAATCAATACCTTTGTTAGATTATTACTTCTTTAATATCTAAAGAATTTATAAGCAAAATCTAAAAATAATAAGTACTATTAATGAAGTCTATAATGGGCATTGCAAAGGATATTTGAGAATTATAAGAATAAATTGACAAAGTTCAGATTAAGAAACAATTTATGTCTCTTAGTTATTAACTTTATGGTTTAAAAATCATTTATTTATTTAATACTATTTATAAATTATTGAAAATGTTAACATGCTTCTAGAAACTGATTTACTATCAAAAAATAACCACTCAGATTATGTATGTTTTAAAATTTAAATTTTAAATACTAACAAAAAATAAATAAATTTAAAAAATACTGAAATAATTTTTTTTTAAGTAGGATGATACTTTTAAAATAACTTATCTGTCATATTTATACCTTGATGAATAAATTTTAACTCCAGTATCTTTGTTAAGAGAAATACTTGAAAAACAATAACCATCCGTAATACATGTAAAATTTGTATCAACACATATATCACAATAACACTCCAAACCTGTAAATGATAAAACTTAGTTTTATTGAAGGCTACTAATTGAGCCTAGTAAATAATTTCCAATATTAATACTATTATTACTATGTTTTATTGTTTTACCTTTGACAGAGTGAAATGAGAATAACAAAAAGGCAACAGCCAATAAATAGACCCATGAGGAAGACATTGAAGATAAAAGCTTAATTATCCGATACAAGATTACTTATAAGAAAACTTTCCTTGACAGTTTCAATTAACAAATCAGGGATTAGGGATCTTTTAATTTTCTTCTTATACGAGAAGGGCACATGGTAATCAGATCAACACATCATTTAAACAGAAACAAGTACTTTTAAGGCTAGAAATCAATCTCATCTATTGTCCAATAGAGAAAAATGTTAAGTTAGCGTAATTTAGATGAGATTCACAGTACTCACTATTCAGCAAAATATAAATCAAAACAATATTAAATCATTAGTAATAGTATACAAACATATTATTATTATTGCGATTGAGAACAGATCAGTAAAACCAGATTATACTTAATACCAATTAATTGGTTAGTGTTCAACCGGCTATCATGGAAGAAGAATAAACATTTTACTTAACACTATTGATATTGAAGTGAAACCATAGATAATAACTCATATTATAATGTAACATTGATCTAATAAACGTTATGTTTATAAGATCTGTGAACGTAAACAAAATTTTATTGTGGAATGGTTAGGACACAGAATAGTTATGATATTAATTCAGTGGTTATGACCTCAAATACAACAATTGTTGTATAAAGCACATTTATGAAGCAGCAATATCTATTCTCTATGCTACTCCTTACGTCAAATATCCATGAATGGCCTTTCCATTCTTTATTATCTATGGTTATCATTTACGGAAGATTATTTAAAAGCTGCATGCACAAATTAGTACAACTTAACTGTGGTGGTTGTATGTTACTATTTATGTACTGTTATTATTATATTAAACACATTGTTCTATGTAATATTGTGAATGGGACAGCAGAATGTTAATTAAATAATATAATTTGTATAAAATGTTTAAAAATTACATAATATTTTTTGAGTTATTCGTCATATTACAATAAATTATATTTGTTTAATTTAGCTCTAAGTTTTTTTTAGGGGTGACTTGGGTCGTAGTTAGGTTTAGTTGTGTCCCTGATGATTTTTCAAATATATGCTTGCAAGAAAAAAAAAAATATTTATTAGCTTCGATGCGAAACTGAGAAGGTATTAATTTTACTATAATGTGTTTTTTTTTTATGTCTTGCCACTTTTTCTCAACTCTTACTGGACCGATTTCTTTCAATAATACGTCAAAAAATCACAAATCGTATCTAGTTGAAGACATTACGCTTAAAAATTGAAAACAATTCCCTCGTTCCGCGAAAATGGGGGAAATATCCAAAAAAATTACAAATTTAAAAATCGGTAAATTTTGTCATTTTTTTCACTTTTTTTTCTTAAAACTTCCATAACTTTTTAAAAAATAAACAAATCAACATAATTTTTTTTTATACTTAAACCTTAGATATTTCCCTTTCGTTTGATATCATTTTATTGAAAATCTAACACTTAACCTGCTCATGGAGGGGGATTTAAAATAGCAACTTTTTTACAAATCTAACTTTTTCAACTTAATTTTTGAAAATGTTCCGGAAATACTGCGTCCTTTAAACATATATCAAATTAAAGCTTATTTTATGTACTATAAAATGAAAAAAAAAATTTGTCCCGACACTTTATCTTCTGCATGTAAACGGTTGCCGTAGTTAAAAAAACACTATTTTTGTGTTAAAATTTTCGATTTTCGATTTTTAATTTTCAACTTAAAAATGCTATAACTTTTCGAAAAATGCATGTATCAGCACAATTTTTTTTTTTCTAAATACATTATAAGTACATCTTCCATTTGACATACTTTTTATTAAAATTAGACAATTTCCCCTTATATAGGGGGGGTTCAAACTTTGAAACATTGTATAAAACATAGAACTTTTTCAACTGAACTTTTGAAAATGTTCCGGAAATACTGCGTCCTTTAAACATATATCAAATTAAAGCTTATTTTATGTACTATAAAATGAAAAAAAAAATTTGTCCCGACACTTTATCTTCTGCATGTAAACGGCTGCCGTAGTTAAAAAAACGCTATTTTTGTTTTTAAATTTTCAACTTAAAAATGCTATAACTTTTCGAAAAATGTATGTATCAGCACAATTTTTTTTTCTAAATATATTATAAGTATATCTTTCATTTGACTTACTTTTTATTAAAATTGGACAAATTCCCCTTATATAGGGGTGCGTTCAAAATTTGAAATATTGTAAAAAACATAGATCTTTTTCAACTGAACTTTTGAAAATGTTCCGGGAATACTGCGTCCTTTAAACATATATCAAATTAAAGATTATTTTATGTACTACTAAAATAAAAAAAAAAATTTGTCCCGACGACCTATCTTCTATGCGCAAATGGCTACCGTATTCAAATATATGCTATTTTATATTAAAATTCTAGGTTTTGTATTTTATTTTATTTTAAAATATTTTATTAGGGGAATAAACTGACTTTCATGAATATTATATAATTTCATTGACATAGAATAAAGTTCATAAGACATATGATATTATACTTATTAACATTTTTTACTTTTTTAAAGTCGAAAAAGNCACATTTTTTTTTTAATTGTTAATAATTTATACTTTATAATTAATTGTTTATACTGTATACTTTATAATAATACTTTTCTAGCTTTTTAAGATGAAATGTCTAAAATTTTCATTCCTTGTCTGTGTTCTGAATATAGGAATTTATTTCTCAATTTTGTTTTCGTGGACTTCCACAAAAAAGTTATCTTAATTCCATTCACTTCAATTTATACATGTGTACAGTAATGACCTTTCCTCTCGTGGTTTCTCTTACCTTTTTTATGCCGATGATATCGTTCTTTTTTCTTCTGATAAATAACTTGATTACGCTGTGGCTATTCTCAACGACTTTTTGTCATCCTATCCAAAAACCTCCACTCTTCTTACTTCACATCAGCTCTCTATTTCCCACGTTACTCTAGAGTCTAGACAATCACTTTATATCCCTCTCTAATACAGTTACTAATCTAGGACTTAAATTAAATCCTAAATTAATATAGGTTCCTCATTTTCAGTTCCTCTTATCCTCTGTATTGCGCTGGTCTAATTTCCTCTGTTGTATTACTGTGACAACGGGGAATCACATCCCTCCTCCCGTTTATTCATTTTTTACTCTCTTATTCGCGCTAAGGTTAACTACATTTTTATCCTTTTCTGATTCCTTCTGTCATCGTAACAGGTTTAATTAAATAATGATCTTTTGCTTACGATCAATTTTAGATGCCCTTCCTTCTCTCCAGCCCTAAAATTAAATGTTGTTGTCCTCCTATCGAAATTACAAGCCGTCGTTTAGTAGGCTAATTCCTCCTAAAATCCATTGCTTCTCCTCCTAAACGCTTAATTTTTAACCTATTTAAATCTGTTCGCAAACTCTGACAGATATGTCACCAAATCTCTTCCTATTCTTGATTCTATACATTCTTTACTTTCATTTCTCACTAATCATATTCATAAGTCCTATAGTCGTCTTCCAATTATATCTGCCCTTACGTGGCTTTAATCCTCACACGTAATATTCATGTTCTAACTAATTTTCTAGGCTTCTCAACTTTTAGCTTTCTTCGTTCTTTATCAATAATTTATTTTCTTATTAGACTTATATAAATTTTCCCAACTTTCGTGTAATTTTACTGACGAGCCTGCCTTATCACTCAAATCAGGTTGTACTTATTACATACCAAGTCTTAATATCTCCTTTTCTACCAACTTTCATACTCCTTTACTACTGAATGCATTGCTATTGTTAGTGCATTACACTACATATTTGTTTCTCAGAATATCTCTTTTATTTCTTTATCTGGTTTGATTTGCAGGCATGTATTTTGGCTATTAGTATATAAATCCTTTCAATTTTCTTACTTTCCCTATAATACTATCAATTAGAGCACTGTTTTTCAAAATGTTCAATTCCATTGGGTGATTTCCTAGCCAAGTCGGGTTACGTATTCGCAAATTATATGACTAAAAACGCATAATCTTTTCAGTGTTATCCTTCATTTCTTCTTCCTTATTTTGATGCTTTGCTTTACTTTAAATCCACCTTTGTGGGTGCATGGCTCGCCAAGTGGTCTTCTCTCCCTGTCAGCTCTGCTCAATGGCATAGGTCCATCATACCTAGTACTTCTAAAGTCCATCGATTATATCTCACCTGCAATATCATTTTTAGGTTTTCACTACTTAAACTGGATCATAACTATGTACCGGCATTCTCTTATAAATTAAACCTTAAATTCTTCCATTTTGCTACTTGCATAAGGAAAAAGTTGTTGGTAACTTCTCTCACTATTTATTGAACTGCTCCTTCATGGCGTCTACTAGATGTCTGTTTATAAAATTCTTAGAAACTAAAGGCATTTCCAATATTGTTCCCTCTTTGGTAATTAATTCTCGGTCTATTCCTGTGATTACTGCCATTATTTCTTTTATATCGAGCACTATAGACACTATTTAACCACTTTATTGTATTTTAAAATTTTTATTGTACATAATTTACTCTTTGTTATACTATTAATATTTAAAACCTTTTAATTTCTGTAATTCACAGTTCTAATTAATACTCTATCAACTAATTTTTGTGTAATTGTCAAGCTATAATATTTATATAATAAAAACTATAAAAAAAAAACTAGTAAATGTTCAAGCAAAAATTTAAAAAAATGTTTAAAGATTTTTTAATATTGCTCGTGCAGAAAACATTGCTATATCATTTACCAGTATTTAAAAAAGAAGTTATTTTTAGAATTGCAGTATATTACAGACTATATGAAATAGTAATTAAAATCATTTTTATATATTCTAAGAGTATAATTCCTCATTTCAACTTATAAATATATAGAATTTATAAAATTTTCATTTTAAATCAATAACAAATATTTTGTATTAAACAACCAATTGTTTTTAAAATAATATTCTCAAATTATTTAAATAATAACAATACAAATAAATAATTAATAATTTTCTGTTGTCTATAATATCTGGATGAATTGTGTAAGATATTTCAAATTTAACTTCAGATTTTGTTCACATCTAGTTTTTGAAGTAATTACTACTTAATAATTAAGCGATAATTAAACCATTATCAGTCTCCAATGAAGCTGAAAGGTAAATTTAGCTTAACTTGATTATCAGAACACTCATATACATAATGGATATCTATTCTTATGTTTCTGTTCGCGCCGCAGAATAGGGCGACCTGTGTAAAGCTATCACATTTCATCTTGTTTTTTTTGTGATAAAAGACTGATTTTTTTTTTATGGTTATGGAACTACATGTGATATTGGAAGAAATATGTTCTTCTGAACAATCCTTTTAAGTGGATTTTTGTTCTAAGTCGATTGTGGTCTACTCAGATATATGAAGAAAGAAAAAATATGTTCTTCTGAACAATTCTTTTGTGGATATTTTGTTCTCAGCCAATTGTGGTTGCTCATTTTGTCAGGATATGTGTACCTCACAGCAACATCATCTCAAGTAAAAATTGCTAAATTAAATAAAAGAAGTTAAACCATAAATTTGTTCCTCATCCACTTATGCATAAGTATTTATTGATGTAAATAACTTGTTCTTTTCTATTGGCAAGTTATAATAAATATATTATATCTATATTTATATACATTTATTATAATGTGTGTGAATTGAGATTTAAGTCATTTAATATATTCCTTGAGAAATTAAATATAAATGTTGTTAAATGTTTACTAACTGTTAAGATTATGTATAGTTCAATGTTATAATAATATATTTTTTATTGACATTCATCTTTCATTATAGGAAAAATAAATCATTCATTGTTCTATCAGAATATAATTATTGTTATTCATCTCAAATGAAAATTTGTTTGTGTTCTTTTACCAGTTAAGGACTTGTGAGCCCAGTAGCCCTTTCAGTTTCTAAGGAATGCATAAACTTTTCTAACAATACTTTCCTTTATCTTTACATTTCTAATGGCTTGTTTAATTGAATTGATTTCTTAGTGCTAATTCTGTGCGCGATTTAGCTCGTGATCTATCATCTAATGCATCAGTTACCTGATAAATAAAATATAAAAAACGGTAGCACAGTGGGGTCGAGGCACAGTGTGGACGAGGCATAGATGGGACAAGTATAGATGATATCTGAC